CCGCTGAAGTGTTGACCATTTCTGGCCAGCAACTTTCAGCATCATTAAGCCGCTGCGCCACCGCGTCCCCTAGAATTCATTGTAGCAACAAGGAAATGTCTTCATGATAAGCTTCAGTAATTATTTCAGTATCTTTCAGTCTCCAATTAGTTTACTTAGACCAGATTTATTTGCCATTCTATGTAACCAAATTTGACTAGATAAAAGGTCTTTGCCCAATAGAGCAGCCTTCCTTTAACTATTGGGATTGCAACTCCTGGAATATATACCCTGGTGAAGCCTGCAATTAGGTCATTAAATGTCCCCTACAGGCTGCTATAGATTACTGCAGGCTACTTACTACATCTGATCCATCTAAAATATATTCAGCAGTCTTCTGATGGAAAGCCAGTAGTGCAAGTGACAGGATTGCAAGATTTTAATCATTATTATCAACAATTAATATTATCTAAACAGAAAAGTCTGCGTTTCAGATATAGAGTTGTCCAATGTTATTCATTATTTTAAAGCAATGCATAGTTAATACACGCAACCTGATTTCAAAAGTTTACAATATAGGGAGCTCATTCCATTGGAATTAAGTGCTGCAGAAATCAATATGTGGTTAATACATGTTCTCTCTTTATTTACATATTACCTTTCTTAAATTCTGCAGTACAGGGGTTAAAGGTTTTTGTATTCAAGGCACAGTGCATCACAGCAGATTTCTTAGCCCACTCAACCCTCACATACCAGATTACAGAACATGACTGTTTATTCAACAAGCAAATATAAGTAAAGAATTCCAGGAGAAAAAAGTCAGTGATAAGTACAAACCACTGAATATTAAATGCAGAGGCTATTGCCTAATTTTGAGCACATGGAGAGGCCCAAGCTTAATAAGAAGAGATGGGGAGGTGGAGAGAATGAAAAAAAGGGCACATTTAGAAAAAGTGAGACCTTAAGAGCTGCTGAGAGAGGGATAAGAACATATTTAGAAATAGAAACAAGTCACATAAAATAATGAGCAGGGATTAGAACATAAGTTAGAAAGAGTCATAACCAAATTGATTTCCATTCACAATGCATATATAGCAGTAAAACACTAACCTGGTTTTCTCTTGTGTCAACACCCCAGTCCTAGAATAGAAGATTGAACTAGCAGGATATAAATATTTTCAACCCTCATTATGTGCCACATTGCTGTGGAAAAACCATATGTTTTTATAATTTTATTAAAAGTTTTAAAAATGAAGATAAAAGCTAATACAAACTAATATAAAGTAAGGAAGAAAAAAGAAGTCAAAGAGAAAGCTAAAAGTGCAAGAAAGAAAGAAAAAGTAAAAAAAAAAATAGAAAGAAAAAAGATAAAAGAAGTAGCTTCCAATCTTATTTACACTAGTTATAAGTACAATTATAAATTTAGCTCTTTCCCTAAAGTTACAACATGACTCTCTTCTTTCTATAATCTATCCTGTCTAATCATCAGAACCATAAATCATAAGTTCATT